CAGCCATGCTGATATAAAGCCGGTATCGCTCGAGTACGAGAGTGATATTGCTCATATATATATATATATATATATATATACCCCTAGGTATTTATATGTAAACTTTGTCTTGTGTGGATTCATGTTACCCTCTTATTTTGAATTTTATAATGGATTGGTATCTGTTGATATTGAATATAATTTTACATTTAGATTACCTTTCTAATCATCTAACATACACTTGAAATTAACCTTAAAAAACACGAATATTTTAATAACACTATTAAATGTAATCTTAAAAAAAAAATAGGCCGCAAGTCTTGGAGCTCAACTACAGTGAGACTACAAATGAATTCATAACATTCCCAATTTGATAATTGGAGAAAAACTTGACCAACAAGTTACATTACTTTCCTGTTGCTAACACTTCATATGACTTAAGTTGGCAATGCTTGAAATTCTGCCAGCAGAAACCACTTTAACGGTTTAAGTGCGTTTTTATGGGTTTGTCTGTTCATGTGTCATGTTGGTTCACGTTACCCTTTTATTTAGATATTTTGTCTTTTATTTTGATAGTCTGTGTATTCGGTGACCAGAAAAAGAGCATTTGTCTAAATGTCATTGCATTATTAGCAAAATAACAAACCAAGTGGCTTCTAATGCTAGAGCTTTTCTCAGAGCTAACTTCACTTTTCTAATCTATTTTTGCTTTTAACTAACTAACTCATCTCAAGGCACGATATATCGATACTACATTGGTTGCTGGCCAATATTAGAAAAGCGCTAATTTTTGGCAATTATTTATTTTAAATATGTCGTGCTCATTTTCTGAATTTTTACATTTAGATTACTTTTGCCTTCATCTAACTATCACCCAAAGTTAATCTTTAAAAGCACAAAAAATTCAATAATATTGTTAAATGTAATCTTTATCAAATCTCAAAATGAATATGTATTTTCATACTGTACATCATAATGCTGTGATGCCTAAATTCATGTCTGGTTTTAGTCTTTAGTGTTTTATTATAATTGTATTTATACAAAACAGTACCGAATTTTAATACTGTCCATCTATCATTTATTGGCCATAACAAAAATATTTATTGTATAAATTGTTATCAGCCAGAATTGCCTTACTTGTGAATCAAAACTGTAGCATATGTTCTTGGGCTATAGTTGGTTAAAATAAATTCTACATGGATCAATATTTTGTAATACAATGCACTGATATTCATGCATTTAAACTGTGCTCACGATAAACACCCTATTGTCATATGCCTTTGACCGTGTTATATTTGACCCCATGTTGAACCTTTTTACTCAAGTAGTTTTTTTTACAAAGGATCGGGTGTGAGTTCTAAAAGAGAGTCATATGACATGTGCTCACCTGCGTTCTCTCTGGGTTTCAGGCCCTCCTGACCTTTGGGCAGAAAGCCGTTATGAGCCCAGTCGAGCGTGGGCTTTATCTGTTCTTCAAGACTGTCTGACTCACATGGAGGAAAAGTCTTTTCTGCTCGTATACTAGCCACCTGAGGACACACGGACAGCGGGAGAACAGTATGTCAGAGTAAGTGTAAGAAAACAGAAACCGTCCAGGTAAGTCTCCAGTGCAATAAAATCAACTATGTGTACTGTGTCTAAAATAACACATTCAGTAAGACTATCCTCTTCGTGGAAATGGAGACAAATTGCAGATATTAATCATGCTGTATAGACTGCGAAGCAGGGGGGGTACAACAACAGGGAGAGAGTGAGACAGAGAGAGAGAGAGCGATAGAGAGGGCGAGAAAGTAAAGCACAGCCAGTCCTGTTGTTCTGGTGCATGTCTGGACTTGGATGCTTTTGTTAAGTTTGTTAGGAGGTACGATTCACAGAGAGATAATTAAGGAACCTATGGGGAATTCCAGACTTTCCAGATGAGTGTTTGCCCAGTTTCCCGTTTATCTCACACAAAAACACATACACACCTCAGAATGTACAAGTAAAGCCCATGCTCCAAGCTTTCAGAACAGCAGGTGCAAATTTGTATAATTATCCTCTATTAAATGTACTAAAGATGTTGTAAACTGCATTGTTGTGTCTAACTGCCCATAGGCAACAATTGTCTTTAAGTGTTATAAAACAATGAACAGAGATTGATCTCTGTTCTCACCTCCAGGGCTTGGAAGATCGCTCTGCGGTAGGAGGCCAGCTTGGTGTAGGATGACTGGTTGAAAAACTTTGGGAAGGCTGTGATGCAGTCGAGTTTGTCAGCAGACACCTGCAAGATACACGACACCAGGGTCAGAAAGTAACCAGGGTTCAAGGCAAGAATGCTTGAAATTCAAAACATGGCCTTGTAATTAATACATGTTGTTATAAAATTATATATATAATTTTACTTACTCTCTCTATATATTTATGTATATACAGTAAACCCAAAATTTATTTAGACAAATTCAATATTTATCACATTATCAGTTTATTCACTATAGTTTAGAAAATGGTAATAAAATATGACAAGAACTCAGAGTTAAACTGTGTCAGAACAAATTCATCTTGATAATGCCATCCTTCTATTAGGTTGAATAGATGTCAGCTGTTAAATTTAAGTACACAATTAGATAATACCAATTTAGGTCAACCAATTACCAAGCAATGCTTAATTTTGTTCAGTCTGTGGTGTAAAAAGGTCGCATTGGCAATTAAAGAAAAAACACTTAAGCAAAACATGGTCAGGTCAAAGTGTCTGAATAGTTTTTGGTCCCAAATTTTTATCAATTTAACTGGTAGTCCACTGTATTAAAATTTTTTGGGTATAACATGTCACAGTTTACTTAATTTTGCTATCCTCACTTACATAAATGAACTACCTGCACCCACTAGTAAAAAATAAAATAAAAAATTATATCTGGTGTCTGAATAATTTTTGGTTTGACTGTATGTACAATTTACACACAATATACACAATGTACAAAAACAGAAAATATGACTTCATGTTTAATTTAATTTTATATATAATAACAATAAGAAATTTTGCAGAGAATTTTCTTAATGAATTTATTTAAGTAATCAGCTACAGAGGGAAACTGTAAATTTCAGGCACTTTTGTTTCACAATTCATATAACAGCAGAGCTATGGTTCAAACTAGTGATGTCAGAAGTACCTCAGTATCAAATAATAACTTCAACTAGATAAAAAAAGTCAAGACAAACATTAGGTTGGCTTGAGAAAGCCTACCTTGAAAATTTGAAGTAGTTATAAAAGCTTGAAGTTTGAATAAGTTGTAAATTTTAAAATTTAGATTTGCATGTTTTTAACATGTTTCTAACATGATTAGCATGATACTAGCATGTTGTTAGCTTGATTAGCATGTTGCTAGCATGTCGCCAGAATGGTTCTAACATGATTATCATGATGTTAGCATGTTGCTATCATGACTAGCATGTTGTTAGTGTGTTTAAGCACATTGTTAGCATGATTAGTGCGTTGTTAACATGTTGCTACATGTCGTTATCACGTTGCTAACATGATTAACATATTGCTAGCATGTTTCTAGCATGATTAACATGTTGCTAACATGTTTCTAACATGATTAGAAACATGTTAGAAACATGTTAGCAACATGTTTCTAACATGCTTAGGTTGTTGTTAACATGTTGCTACCAAGTCGTTATTACATTGCTAACATGCTTAACATATTGCTGGCATGTTGTTAATTTGTGCTGGAGAGTACCACGCCGCATGCGTGGGCTGCTGCTGATGTAGAAAGCATTGTGGTACTCTCCATAATGGCGGAAGATGGTCACTTGGAGAAAAATAGTTGATTAAAGTCATTATTTTTGTTTTCATTGCACACAAAAAGTATTCTCATAGATTTATAAAATTACGGTTGAACGACTAATGTCACATGGACTTTTAATGATGTCCTTCCTTTCTGAGACTTGAACATGTCAGTTCCGTTGCTGTCTATGGGAGGGTCAGAAAGCTCTCGGATTTCTTCAAAATATCTTAATTTGTGTTCTGAAGATGAACAAAGGTCTTACGGGTTTGGAGTGACATGAGGGTGAGTAAATAATGATATCATTTTGGGGTGAACTATCCCTTTAACATTAAAAAAAAGAAGTATGCCATTCAATAGCATTTATCAAGTACTGCTGTATTCTGGTATTCTGACAACGCTTTGTTTTGTTTGCTACCTCTGAGAATTTCCCATCGCCAAACCACTGTAGCCAGCGCATGCCGTGGGAGGCCTGCCTCTTCCCTGTTGCTCTCCAGGTCACCACCATCCCTGGCCACCAAGAAAAGCCCTTTATCTTGCCCCAGACTAACTCTCCAATACCAAAGCCTTTATTATCCTGAGGAGCAGAAATGTAAATGAGACACAGTTCACCATGATTTCATATTTTCTGTTCACTGAAACCTGTACCAGATTTGAACAGGAAGGAGTCACAAATTTCAGTTAAAAATGGCATATGAGATTTCTGTTCCTTACACAAAATATGGCTTCTTCCTTACTAGTTTTATGGTGCTTTTCAGGCCTTTTTGTTCCTTTTCAGCCTGGACATTCTGCTAAATAATTTATTTTGTGTTCCACAGAGAATGAAAAATCATACAGGTTTCAACTCGTAGATTTTAATTTACGAGTGAACTATCCCTTTAAATAAGACGGACAATTAACATGATCACTGCACAGATTTCTTTGATCCTGTTACACAAAAAAGGACAATAACATGCTCTGTAGCACTCAGAGAGCTGGACTGAGACACTGAGCTTGTCTGAGCATGACTCTCAATCAATCAGGACCATTTCAACAGCCCTGTTGTTTCCTCACCTGTGCAAGTGTCTGTGAGTATTTATGAGTCTGTGGTCAACAGTGACTTACCCAGACGCTACAACCCACAAAACCCCCTTTCAAGACCTTCACGGTCTCTTTGTCATGGTCATAAGTGCTCTCTAAACGCGCAGCTGCCTGGCTTATTGACACGCAAAGGAGAGGATACACCGTGAGAACAAAGGCTGTTATCTTTGCATTCAAACAGAGTAGTTCTATGAGGTTACTGTTACATGTCAAAGGCAGGTGGACAAATATAGATACTCATGTGTTGTTTGTGCATGAACATAAAAAGGAACGGTACATGACAGGATAGGTGGATAGGGGTGTGTGTGTGTGTGTGTGTCCTGGTACCTTGTACTCAGGTTGGCTGACTGTGTCAGTTGTCGAGATGGATGTGGTGCTGCTCTGTGCGGAGTCTTTAGAGTCCTGTTCCATGAGTTCTAGTGCGGGACCCTCAGGAACATTAGAAACCTACAAACACACACAATTACAAGTCTAAGTAAAGCTAAGCAAAATAAACCACAAAACATAAAACACACACACACACAAAAAATCTAAATAGTTACAATGAAAGTCTATGGGGCAAATGTTATACAAAAACCCAAAACAAAACCCAAAATAAAACAAAAAATAAAAACACAAAAACAACAAAACAAACCACCCCCAAACATAAACAAAACAAAAATAAAATAAATAGAAATAAATAAAAACATCATAAATACATAAATAAAAAATAAACAAAACAAAACAAACCCAACCCCAAAACAAAAGACAAAACACAAAATAAAGCATTACAAAAAACAAAACACATCAAAAATAAAACAAAAATAAACAAAAAGTTACAATGATAGTTACTATAGAAGTCTAGGGGGCAAATGTGTAGCTTCTGCTCTCGCAGATTTCCAATGCAACTATATTTCTGTCAACATGTTTTATGTGTGTTTTTACAAACTGTGAGACAAGTCAAAATTATTTTTTGTGGTAAGAGATGGCATGCCACTGTAATGTCAATACAGCTTAAGTTGAATTTAGGGCTGGACAATAATTCAATATCAATATGTATCTAGATATAATTTTTTTCAATAACGGTGATATGATTTTTAAACACATTTCCGATATTTCGATATACATTACCAGTGTTTCCCATACATTGATTTATTTGTGCCGTTTGACTTCGTTGAATAAACATGAGCACTGCACGTTTCAAAATCAAAAAATGTCGCGGGTGTTTTATATAAATGTATCTGTGAAGGGAACCGACTGTCTTCAGAAAAGTTTCGATGGCATTTTCATTTGATCTGATAAAGTAGCATTCATGAGCGGAGCTGCTTTGATTACAGCCATTACTGGAGAAACCGCTAGTTCTATCACTCTAAAAGCGCCTCCTGCTAGCAGAGCATGAGTTTTCATTTTAAATAAGCCCGTCTCCAGCAACATTTCCAGTTTTTGTTGTTCAATTTTTTTGTTTTCTGCAGCGACTCGGAGCACTTTTCATACCCTTTTTTCTGGCTGAAGCACATTTGTTTCAATCTATAAGAATAATCAGCCTACACTACCAGTCAAAAGTTTTTGAACAGTAAGATTTTTAAGGTTTTTTTTTTTTTAAGAATTCTCTTCTGCTCACCAAGGCTGCATTTATTTGATCCAAAGTACAGCAAAAACAGTAAAATGTTGAAATATTTTTACTATTTAAAATTGCTTTCTATTTGAATAGATTTTAAAATGTAATTTATTCCTGTGATCATACATAGGTAAATTTTCAGCATCATTACTCCAGTCTTCAGTGTCACATGATCCTTCAGAAATCATTCTAATATGCTGATTTGCTGATTATCAATATTTAAAACAGTTGAGTAAATTTTTTTTTCAGGATTCTTTGATGAATAGAAAGATCCAAAGATCAGCATTTATCTGAAATAAAAAGCTTTTGTAACATTATACACTATTCCATTCAGTATAATTTTTATTATTTTTTTGGGAAAGAAATTATAGAAATTTATACTTTTATTTAGCAAGGATGCTTAAAATTGATCAAAAGTGATGATAAAGGCATTTATAATGTTACAAAAGATTTCTATTTCAGATAAATAGTGTTCATATCGATATCGGAATTATATCGTATCGACCGAAATTAAGAAATATACCGTGTTATCAATTTTGGCCATATCGTCCAGCCCTAGTTGAATTTAACCGAAAATAGTTGCACTGTGGAACATGGTAGCTGGTTTTAGTCGGTCATGCCCTGTTTTGCCAGCAGAACCCTTGACTGGTCTTCCAGGGGTGTTTTTCTGAACTATCACAGTACAATGCATTGTAGAATAAATTAAAACAAACTAGTCATGTAATCTCTGTCAATAAAACCATGCTGGTTCATAGGGTTGTCATTAAAAAAACAGCAAACGCTTCTACTAATTAATTGGATTGGGATTTAATTAATGTCAGAACATTAATGTAATTAACAAACATGGCATCTAAGGACTACTTTATTTCTATTTTACTCTATTTTATTCTCAGCTGTTTTGCTTTAATTCCAGCTTTTTGATTACCTCTTATGTCACTCCAGGTGCTCCTGAAAGATACTGACACACTAGAGTGCATTGAAACTCAGCACTTTCATTCACTTGTCAAACTATGTACTGTAAAAAGACATATTGTAGAATGAAATTCGTATATATTTGGAATATGTAATAAAAGTTATAGCCTGCACTGCATGTTAGCTTGCTTATTTTGCATAAGTGCATAATCTTTAGTCCACGTCATTCTAACGAGAAGCTACTGTATGCTTCTAACCACAAGTCGAGAATTGTAGTTGTACTGTAGATAACTGAACTGTAGTTCCAACCACACAAATTTGTGATGCTGTTTGCAAATGTTCATTGATAATGACTGAACTTGTGATCATAGCTGGCTAACAATGCTTTTGGAAAACACATATCAGATCCCTACCAGCCGGGTCAACCACCTAAACTAGCTATCTAATATTTATATATTTGATGGTTATATATATACTGTTAGGGCTGGGTGATATGGCAAAAAAATTTAATCTCGATTTTTTTCAGAACATTTGCCCGATTTAGATTTTTTACAATTTTTAACTAGTGAACTAGAAAATGCTACTACAACATGATTCAAGTAACTTGTTCTTTATTAAACTTCTATTTAAAGAAAATTCTATTCCAAGTGCACCACACGTGAAGTTGTCAACATGATGTAAATGTTAAACAAATCACTTGTTAAATATCTTTGCAAAAAAGATGCATGAACTACAACTACATCTTGTACAAACTTGTCTTACATATATTATATGTTCAGAAATAATACGAGGAAAATGCTTAAAAAAATCTCAAAAGTCAAGGTTATTCAAATTCAAAATGACTGAAGGTACAACACAAGTAGACAATTATTAACTATAAATGTTCTGTAAAAACAATGAAAAGCAGCTTTCAGCCTGTCACCATGATGCAAACATGAAATATCAGGAATACAGTATTCATATATCAGGAATACAGTATACAGTATATACAGTATTCGATTGCGCTGCTTTTCTATTGTTTTTTTCTATGTAAACATAGGCTTGTTTGACTGTTGCGCTTGCGTCTCTTGCAGCGTCTCATGCATGAAACGGCATTAAAAACACAGCGCTCAAGTTAAAAGAAGTTCACTCCTATCTTCTTGCATGTTTTTCCTATTCCACTGCCCGCATTGCATCTTTGTCAACACAAAAGCACATTCTATATGAATGGCATCTAGCGATATGAGCGCGTCACATGTGAGCGGTTAATCATGTGCACCGACATGTGGTTGGATCGTTCTTTTCTCTTTACTGTTATCATTGGCATATTGTCAAAGTGTTTAATTCTAAGGCTTGGTAATATTTTATTCAAAATCGTGATTCCTTGATTTCTAAAAAATAAAATTGCGGCAAAACATTACATTAGAATTAATCGATAAAATCGGAAAAATCGGCAAACCTCATAGGCGCCGATTTATGTTTCTGTCGATGGGTGCTCAACCACACTGTCTGAGGGAGCACAGAGCCATGATCACTATATGGGACAATAAACCTGCTACAAGCAGAGAGATTCGTGCTGATGCCCTCTCGTATTACAATGCTTGACATTTGCCATTAAAATAACGCCAAAAACGGCCTCAAATTAACTATGAAAATGAGAATAAAGTCGTACAAGCTGCAATCCATTTCTTACTGGTTAAAATGAATGGAGACTATCTCGTGTTTTTCCGTGGGTGCGCGATCATTTCCGTGGGTGCTCGAGGGATCGGGATCGGCGCCTATGCCCAGCCTTATACACTACTGTATATATTTTATTGTTTTGCAAATTCTCTCCAAACCATAATGTCATACACACTTTGTCTGTCTTTGCTCATCTCATCACAACACAGACAAAACAACTATGGAAAAAAGTCATAACATATTGAAATAGAGGGGGGAGGGGCTGATTTTCCATACTTGAATTTCCAAGACCACTGTTTTGACTGGCTGGGGTACAGGCAACTTCAGATGTCTGACAACATAAAGACAGTGATCGACAGCTCGACTTAAAGCTGTTGAGTAAAGTGTGAGGAGCTGACAGTGGCATGACAGCTTTAATCTGCCGCGAGGGTGATCTCTGTATGTCGGCCTTGATTTCAGTGTGTCTGACAGAATAAAAAGGCTTTGTGTGTGTATGTGAGTATTACCAGGTTGTTGTGATCCTGTTTGCTATGTCCCCCCTCTCTGTTGCGGGGTTTACTGTGAGCTGTCAGTCCTGCCTGAAAAATAGTCCTTGGACGAGGCCTTTGCCGCAGACCCGCCTCACAACCGGACCCAACGTCAGCCTTTTCCTGAAACCGTAATACTGTGACAGTTAGCTGATGCATATGTAGAGCAAATAATAATTAGTTTGGTTTGATATGCCAATTAATTGTTTGACTTTTATGGGTTTTTCAATGGCCACTATCACTACAGTGTATGGTGGCTTTTTTTTTTTTTATAACTGATAATTGATGTCAATTAATACTTTTTATTACACACACACACAAACACACACACACACACATATATATATATATATTGTTCATTCCAGTGTGTTTCGCTTAAAACACGAGTTCTGTCATATTCTGTGATTGTCTCTGACAAGCGCAAGCCCTCACATGTCGCGCTGTGTGAAGTAGAAGTACAGGCTGAATGGGTTGTCAACACATACATGTATGGCCAGATGAGATGCAAACTACGTTTTCTCGACTGGATAACCAGTCTCGCTAGTAAAGTTTTGATGGATGAAAACTGCAATCAAAGTAAAGACGATTGCGGTGGCGTACAGGAGTCGTACAGTAAGCACGCGTGAGTCCGTTATAATAAATGCGTGCATGAGTGCTCTTGACGCACAGATCATACATTGTATTTATGCACAGGCACAGACATTTCCGTACATTCACGTTGTTTCCACACACATTCACGATAATGTTTTGATTTGTCATGTTTATGTTGCTGTGTTTAGTTATACGGAATGGATCCGTGTACTGTAGATATATGCAGTCAGCAGGCGATTGGTTTAGGTTTTTTTTGGCATCTCCATGTGGTCCTGTTCGGTATCGCAACTTGGCTTCTCTAAAATGTAAAAAAGCTCTTTGCTGTTGCACTGTACACATACTATAAAATTCAGATTTTTTTCTTTCTTTCATATGTGCTTATATTGGCTCCTTATATCATTTGGTTCTTTGGTGTCCTTTTGGAGTTTCTAAGTGTCCTTTTTTGGAAAGACATCTAAATTTATCTTGAAAAAAGCTTGCAGAAGATATATTTTTGAGAATCACCCTTCAATCTTTTGGTTTACTTTACTGAATATAGCAAAGGATGGCAAAATAAACATTTGAAACAAGATAAATGATCTATGCTTAATTTCATGAAGTGTGCGATTAATCGCGATTAATCACAGAAAAAGGATGTGATTAATTAGATAAAAAAAATTTAATCGATTGACAGCCCAAATATATATATATAACACTTAGACAAGTGTCATTTTACAACAAGGTCTCATTTGTTAACATTAGCTAATGCATTAACTAACATGTATGGAAGAGGATTAGGGCCAAGCAATAATAAAAAAGTCATTAAATTACAAGAAAAAAGTTGTTAAATTTCGAGAGAAAAAAATTCGTTACATTTCGAGCAAAAAGTCTAAATAAAATGTTGAGAATAAAGTCATTAAATGACAAGAAAAATGTTGTTAAATTTTGAGAAAAAAAACTCGCTAAATTTCGAGAAAAAGTCGTAATTATATATTGAGAATATACTCATTTAATTACGAGAAAAAAAGTTGTGTTTTGAGAAAAATAGAGAATAAACACACTCGTGTCATTCATTTCATCTCGTTGGACAAAGTCAAATAGCGTCTGCAGTGGCGAAGGTTGGAGAGTAATGCGCAGAGACATAGCGTGTGATGCGATCGACTAGGGTTTGAAACCGTCTTTAGCCGAACTTTTCTTCCTTTTCTCATCACATATCACATCGGAAAAGTGGTAATCAATTGCTTAACGAGTGTTTAATAATAATGTATTAATTAGGCAGGTTAAGTGTTACTACAGTAAATCCATTGTAAATATTGATTTGTGGATTGAAAAGTAATCTAATTGGATTGTTGTTGCAGTGTTTCTCCTGTTTTCCGCGTCAATGTTGTTGAGAATTGCAGCGCTGTTTCATCTGCCTTTAAACGTGTTTAAATCACAGCAGAGTCTGTGGTTTGTATCGGAGAGCTCTGCTCCAAACTCGAACACTTCTTACAGCTCTGTTTAGTGGTTTGTTTGTTTGCTTGTTTTATTTGACAAAATTTAAAACATAATACAAAAAAGTCCACAAAGACTAATTCATACATATAAACTGTCGAGGATAAAATACACAAAAAAGCCTTCGGCTTATTTCCATTGTGGTCCTCTGTATTTAAAAAATATGGACGAATAAATCATAAATGGAGTGTTATCCACATCAGGTTCAGAAACTCACCACACAAACTTCAAAACATCAATGATAAAACAACCATTTTTTAACTTCCCCTCTAAAAATACTATCAACTTGTATCTCTTGAATACACCCAGGTAATTTAGTCCAAGCAACAGAGCTAGTAAATAAAAAATAATTTTTTTTCCCATTTCACTCTTAAACCTACAAAAAGGGGTCATATGATGCGATTTCAAGTTTTCCTTTCTCTTTGGAGTGTTACAAGCTGATTGTGCGCGCGAGAGAGCACATACCAGCTTCATCACTGTGTCTGTCACGTGACTCTGTTCCCCTTTCGGGCTCTGTCTTTACATTTATTTTGAAAGATGAAGCTCGGGATTATGGTAAGGGGCGTTACATTTCCGACGAGTGCTTGGGTCAGCTGGCCAATCAGAGCAGACTGCGCTTGTCAAAGGAGGGGGCTTTGTAGAAAACGAAGCGTTTGAGAGTGGCGGGGCATAGAGGACCTACAATAATGTACAGTATTTGAAAAATAATGTGTTTTTTGAACATTAAAGCATGTCAACATATTCTGTTACACCAAATACACCAAATAATTATCTTTAAAAAAGCATCATATGACCCCTTTAATATCTTAAACACCATCACCAATTTAAAAAAAGTTACCCTGATCGAGTTGCCTGATCTAGACCTGTCAGCAAGTAAACACATTTGTTCTGACTTTGCGCTGCGCTGTCTTTAGGCAGAGCTAATAACGGGTAGTGCTGTACTGCTTTTAGTGCACTAAAGACAGCACATATGAGTTACCAAATTGTTGTCACTCACGTTTTACTGATACATCTGACCTAAAATTTAGTGCTCTCACCTTGTGTTGACATTGTGAAACTGCATGATTTGTAAATTATGATTGGCGGGCCACATATAATAGCCTACATTTCAATAGACATTTACACTAAGTGAAATTTAACGACTTTTTTCTCGTAATTTAATGACTTTATTTTTAACATTTATCTTTACTTTTTTCCCTCAAAATTTAATGTCTTTTTTCTCGTAATTTAATGAGTTTATTCTCAACATTTTATCTAGACTTTTTTTCTTGAAATTGAACAAGTTTTATCTTAAAACATAACTATGGAAGAAAAATAATGCCATATGTCTTTGAACACTTCATGCACTTTATGATATTATGTCAGCATTAATATATAACCATCAATACCTGTGCACATTTTCTTACCTTTTTTGTTATGCAAACACGCTTCATAAATGCTCAGATAAAGAGCCCAAAGAAAGCAAACACTGATCTCCTTGATAGTGTTTTCAAATTAAATATTTTCAATAAAACATCAACATTCAAACCTCTGTAATTATAGAAGAAAAATAATGACATATGTCTTTGAAACAAAAAAGCACGTTGAATAGCACTAACTGAAAAAATAATGCATTGCATTAACAGTGCTTGCATTTTAATGCCTTGTATTTCCAGGGCTTGCATTTTTAGGTCCTGAAATTTTACATAGTTATGTATTTAAGCTGTGAATATTTCTATTCAAAATATTTCACACACATTTTGCTAAGTAGAAGTTTTGATTATTGGGGCCAGTATAAACATGTGGAAAAGCTGATAATAATAATAATTAATAATAATAATAATAAATCCAGTCGGTGGAATTGTCAGACGGTCCCTTGTGTGCGATAACGCGTCACTGCTTTCTCCGGTTTAAATTTGAAGCAATAATACACCTAGGCGGTTTTGAACTCCTAATTTAATGTTAATATAAAGTGGTTGCATATTGTTAAAACTAATCGTGGTATTGATATCTTTGTAGGACTGTTGACTCTATAGATTAGTGGTAAGGGAAAGCAATTATAAAGAAAATGCAGTGCGTTGCGTTCTTCTGACCTCATTTGTTTGCCTGTATATAGTTTGCATAATCATCAATAAAGTGTATTCTGAGATCTGAGGTCTTATATCACTGTATTAGTTCACTGAGGCACTTTACGCCTCG